CTCTACACTGAAAACTACAGCACTCTGAAAAAAGAAATTGAAGAGGATATAAAAAAATGGAAAGATATCCCCTGCTCCTGGGTAGGAAGAATCAACATAGTGAAAATGGCCATACTACCAAAACTGCTATACACATTCAATGCAATGCCAATTGAAATTCCAACACTATATTTCACAGAGCTAGAAAAAAAAAATCCAAAAATTCATTTGGAACCATAAGAGACCTAGAATAGCAAAAGCCATTTTAGGCAACAGACACATGGCACCAGGTGTAACAATTCCCAATTTGAAACTATACTACAAAGCCACTGTGATAAAAACAGCATGGTACTGGCAAAGAAATAGGCCTGAGGATCAGTGGAACAGACTAGAAGACACAAAAACAAATGCAGATGTACTCAGCTACCTCATCTTTGACAAAGGAGCTGACCATCCTGGAGGAAAGATAGCCTCTTTAATAAATGGTGTTGGAAAAACTGGATGTCAACCTGCCACAGATTAAAATTAGACCCTTATCTTTCGCCATGCACTAAATTATAATTGCCTTCTCATTAGTGATTAATTTGTTTTCATCTAGGCTTACAAAAGGCAGTCTACAAACGTAAGTGTTTCGCCTAACTGTTGTTTGTACTGACCATATTGACATGAGGCTTGAGATCCACATTCTGCTTTTAGCTCTGCTATTAACTAGATGATGAGGCTTAGAGAAGTCACCTCTCTTGCTTCCAGCTTTCTTGCATACTGTAAAATGTGGGAATTTGCCATTTCTAGTACAGCTTCAAGTTAGATGATGCCAGTCTGAAGTTCAGGAAGCAATCCACTGATAGCCTGTGTTACATGACTGTAGAATATTCATAAAACTGGGAACACTTGTAACTGGATATAAGATTGACAGTTTAGAGCTACTAAGATCTAGGGAGGGATTGCCCGTGAGCACTTAGCCCTGAGGGCGTGGGTACTGAGAAGAGTGTACAGAACAGTTACAGTCTACTTACAAGTAGTAAGATAAAGTAGAGTAGGAGGCTAAGGATCCTTGTGAGGGGATCAGGGCACAGTAAAAGCAACAATAAGGGGAGAAGAGTCATTGGAAGTTTATTGTGTTTTACTTGAAGCCTTGTTTTTTGTTTCATTCAAAGTATAAATAAGAGCAATATCAAAATTTTATTGAATTGTATTTAATTCATCTGCTTTTCTCCCCCACCAAAAACAGTGATGAAGAAGAAAATTCTTATTTTGAAAATCTTAAATCACTTTAATAATACCCTAACTATAACTGTTGGGGGTCTTGAAAAAACTGTTTGGAGATGTTTAGACTTGTTTAAGAAGTGCTGGTGCCAGGGATTTAGCTCAGTGGTGCCGCTGCCTGCCTCTTAAGCACAAGGTCTTAAGTTCAAATCCCGGTAACAAAACAAAACAAAAAGAACTGATGAGGGATAATGCTAAGCAATTTCTATTCTTAGCACTTTGTCTGCTTTCCTAGAAGTGAGGGGCAGTTTTGAGGGTAAAGGTAAACTGCTTGGCTGTTCTGATTCCTTGGCTTAGTAACAACTGTATCAGGGAAGTTTCTCAAGGCAGTAGTACAGGCACTCCTGCTGAAATGTTGTATGCCCATACTGTGAGAAACAGGCTTCTAAAGAGCTAACCTCTGCCTTTTCCTGTCCTGTGTTGTCCTGTCCTGTCCTTTCCTTTCTTTGTTCCAGGGTTCAAACTCAGCTCCTTGTGCTTGCAAGGCAGGCGGTGGAACCACTATAAATCCCCGGCCCCAACCTCTACCTTTCTAAAGATCTTTCTCTTTTTTCTTTTTTGCAAGGCCAAAAATCAGGTAGATATTCAATAAAGATGGTGCTGTTATCAGTTCAAACACACATTTTGTCATAGAATACTGCATGGGACATTTAGAAAGCAAATATGTGTATGTTTTAAATGTTTTTAAAAGTGATTTCTAAACATGATCAAAGCAGAGGGATAGCGCAGTGATTCTGAGATATATTACAGTATGCCAACCTTGTAAAATCATGCCTCCTGTACTTTGATTTTCATAGAAAATTTGTCTTTAGCTTTTAAACTTACTTTGTCATGAAAGTGAGCTTAAGAAATTTTTACTTATTAAGCTTGCTTGGGATTCTAGCCTTGAATACCCTTAGAATATTAGATTCCCATAGGACTTCACTGTAAAATCTTTTCTGAATCTTTCTCAACATTTTGGAAATTTGAATTAATCCAAAAATTTAATGCTAAAGTGTAAATTCATGATTATTTTGAGCTTAATAGAGATGAATTGTATGCCTGTTCATCATTTTCTGAGGTATTTGAAGAAAAATAATTCCACTAGAACATTATGATCTTTCCCACAAAACAGTGTTAGGGATAGCCAGGATGGAAAGAGTTCATGCTCCTGTAATCCTGGCTGTGTAGGAATAGGGCAACTATAGAATTAAAATAGGTATTGCATGGGTGATGATGGCTGTGTAGAAATACAACCAAGCTTTTATCATCATTAGACTATCCCATTAAGTAAGCATTGGTATCTATTTTAAATGTTGAACCATTAATTCTTCAATTAATATCATTTGAAAAATCACTATCTTTCTTTTTTTGTTTTTTTTTTTTTGAGACAGGGTCTTGCTATATAGTTCAGGCTGGCCTTGAACTCTGTGTGGTCCAGGCTGGTCTTAACTCATGGTGAACTTCCTGCCTCAGCCTCCCAAGTGCTGGGACTACAGGTGTGCACCACCATGCTTGTCAAAAAGTCACTTTTTAAGAATAGAAAAAGATGATTACCTCAGAGAAGAGAGCCACATCCTGGATTAACGAATATATTCAAATCACTGAGTGGTGTGTTGAGAATTACTAGTAATCCATAGCTATATTTTTTCTTAAGATACAGGCAGTGGCGATGAACCTATGGTATGTGTGCCACAGCGGGCTGTTTGTATTATTAAAAGCTCTAAAAGGTTCACTCATTGATAAAGAGCATCAACTCCTACACAATGCTAATGGTTTTATTTGGCCAACAAGAGTGTCTTAAACAGGACTGATAATTCTCTTGGGGTTGTAGAAACCACTGGATATTTATACAAGACTCATTATTTTATTGTCACATTCAAATTTATATATCTGTCCTATTTTGAGAAAGCCCACAGATTAGTATTAGATATGCCATTAGTAACTGTTAAATATCTGTATATAAACAATCTGCATTGGCTTTAAATAGGTAGATTCATGCTTTAAGAAAAATGTACAACATCTGTTTTTTTATTTCATGCAGTTGCTGTGATTGGCTGATAAATATTTGTCAAAGAAAGAAAGAACTGAAAGCGCGCACAGTGTGGCTTGGATGTCCTGAGAAGTGTGAAGAGAAACATCCCAGGAATTCAATCAAAAATCAAAAATACAACATATTTACCTTTATACCGGGGGTAAGACCATTCATTCTTGAAGGCCAGTTTTATGTCAGAGCTGGCTAACTTCTTCATCTTTTGAAAGTGCCTGTGGAGATTCTAGCTTTATTATTATACTGTGTAGGATCCAAGTCAGCATCCTCCTGCTTTTGTGGTTTTCCTCTTTCAAATGATTGCTAAATAATTCATTTGTATTTTTTAATGACTGCATCAGAAAATTTACAATTTGATTATTGCCTTTAGTTGTTGATAAACATATTTATATTGTAGAAATACAGTAGTATAGACATAATGAAGACAAGCTAAATGAAATGATCAGGAAATAAGTCATAAATTTTGATGGTCTGGGGATATGTTTGAAGGAAAAAGTGGAATGCAGTGTTGAAAACCTGGCAATTTTACTTTCACAAAGAAAGTAAAACAAATATTTGTGAATATGTTATAGATGTCTTTGTTACTTCCCATAAATCTCATGCCTTGTAATAGCATTAAATCATTAGCAATCTTTAACTAGCTATTCTGTTAAATATAAATGCTGAAGTTGAAATATTTTATTACTTTGTTAGTGTTTCTGGATTAAATTAAAAAATTAGTGGAATTTTTAATTTTCATTTGTCATTTCCTATTTTAATAGATTTACGTATCTTTCTGAAGACAGAGGAAGGTAGTACTGATTATATTTCTTTCCTTTTTTTTTAATTTGTAGGATTTAGTTTTTCTGTGATTCTTTATTTTTGTAAGTTAGACCAACATGGTTCAGCTATTGAAAAAAATTCAGTCATCATACATCTGATTATATTTCTGTTTCATAGTTTCTGACACATTCTAGCTATTGACCATTACACTGTTTTGCCAGAAAAGCTCTTAATTATGTGGACTAAAAGTTGCTTTATAATTATTTGTTTTGCATGCTGGGGATTTACCCCAGGTCCTCATGCATGATATTCAGGGTTCTACCACAAAACTATATCCATGGCTCTATTTTATATATTTATATTTAAATAATCATATATTGGACATTGATTATTTCCCCCTCCCCAGTTCTCAATTCATTCACTGGTTGACAAGTGTTTGATATCTAATACACTTCTTTATTAAAACACAACACTAATGGTAGACAGTAAAGTATTGGTTAGAGTGGTTTTAAAATAGTGCAATTTAACTTTAATCAGCGTAGATTCACACAGGCTTCCCAGATTTGCTGTAACCTAAGAATAAACTGTTGATAGATCTGTACAATGGTTACCGTGTGCATGAATTTTTTGTTAGATTCTCTCTGAAATTAGTCTTTTCATCTAAAATGTAGTATTTTAGAAACATTCGGTAATTGCACAGTAGGAATTCTATGCCATTTTTTGCACAAATGGCAATTTCTGAATTGCTAATAGATATAATTTATAATGAGATTTTAAAGAAACTGCTGGGGAAAAGAGCTTTCTTTCCTGCTGTGATTAATTTATGAAATAATTCAAAACCATTTTAGACAGCAATTGAACATGATTATAAATATAAAAGTATTACCGGTGTAACTGATTTTTTTTTAGCCACAAACACAACTGTATGATGATGCAGATAACTTTATTATATACCAATAGTAGTTCCAGGCTCTTTAAGCCAATAATAAGTACTTAACCCATTGCTCAGCTCTTGTTGGAATTGCTGTGCCTTCCACCTTGGATAAGAAATGGCATTCAGGGAGATTTTGTTTTGCAAGTGTGTTTTTAATACTAATGTACTATTTGAATTATTCTCATCTACAGACATAAGGTTTATTCTAATTTTTAATTTAAATCTAATAATTTGAGGCATTGTAAATAGAGGTCTGTTAATATTCTACATTTTGAGTTTTCATTCTTAATGATAATTCTGTTTTAATTTAAAAATAAAGAAACATTCCATCTTTCCATTTCTTAAATTATATTGAGTGATAGAATTTATTCAATATTTGGAAGTAGTGTTAAATGTCACTTAAATGTCAATTACCAAAAGACCACACAGAATAGTATGTAGGTTGCTGTCTTCTTGAAAATCGGTCTATTAGTTACATATTTTTATATACTAATCATTTTTTTGTGTGTTTTGAGGGAGACAAATACAGGAGGTTATCTCATAGTTACACCATGCATGTTTGGCTTGTTCATTCAGTCTTTGTGAAGCGAAGATGTTCATGGTAAAAAGCATGGCTATCTTATTTAATTTTTGCCATTTTATAAAATAAGAGTAATATGATTTTTCTATTATAAGAGTTTCTGAGTTGGCATCAAATACACATTTGTATATTCATAGACTTGCTAATACTGGGAAGGTTATACTATCATTTACTTAATGTGTACATAAAGATTTATAGGTTGTGGAGACTAAAAATTTTAATAGAAGGAAAAAAAAAATCCTCTTAGTAAAGGATACTTTTATTATAGTAGAAAGGCCTTACTCTCTTTTTAAAATATTTTAGTTCAGGCCGGGGATTTAGCTCAGTAGTTCTGCTGCCTGCCTTGCAAGCACAAGGACCCAAGTTCGATCCCTGGTACAAAAAAAAAAAAATTCATAAAAAAATTTCCTGGTTTGTGTGATAGCCTTGGAAAGCAATGTCAAAATTAATGTTACCATGAATCAGATTTTTTTTCACTGTTTGGAAGAAATGTCATTATATATTTTGCTGAATGTAATTATTTAATTGAAGTTTTAATATTTTTTTGAAGGAATTGTGTTAATTTTCTCTTTTCCTTTTTAGGTTTTGTATGAACAGTTCAAGTTTTTCTTGAATCTCTATTTTCTGGTAGTATCCTGTTCACAGTTTGTACCTGCATTGAAAATAGGCTACCTGTACACCTACTGGGCTCCTCTGGTAAAATAAAAGACTTAAAAATTAGGCTAAATTATTCAATGTTTAGAATATAGTTATAAGAGTTGAGATGGTTAATAGATACAGTAAGTTGACCAGTTAAACATGATGTTGTTGCTCTGTATTGTTGAACTTTTAAAAAAAAGATTTCACTAAGTTTTATGACTTAATCCTTTTGAGCTCTGTAGGCATTGTAAAGCACTGTACTGCCTGAGACCTGCTGGCATCTGTAGATCCCCTTAGCTGAAGTTATAAAGTGTCCTATTTGGAACATTGAGTACTTGTCTTAAGGGTTGCTGGTCTGTCTGCCTGTCTCCCTCCCTTCTGTGCTACAGAACTATTAGCCGTGTTGCTGGGAGTTTTGGCTTCTGTTTAATTACTCTCTTGACACTCCATTGATGGTGAAAGTTCTAAAGTATTTGACTGCAATACAGATAACTTCTGGTTGATAATTCAGTGTAAAGTTTTTGAAAGGTCCATAGTGTTTATCATTTTCATTTTAAACATATTCTGTTTTAGTTTTATGCTGTTTGTTGGCAGCTTTTCTTAAGTTTCTAACTTGCATATATAATAGAAAAGTGTACTGCTTCCTTTTTAGTTATTATCATTATTATTATTATTATTTTTTTGTACCAGGGATTGAACTCATGACCTTGTGCTTGGGAGGCAGGTGCCATGCCACTGAGCTAAATCTCTGGTCCTTAGTTGTTCTTTTTTGGGTAGATGATCAGAGGAGTCTTGGCAGGACATACTGTGGGTGAAATGATTCCCACTGTGAAAGAGGAGTACAGGGAACTGGTGTCTCACCCTCCTGTCCACCCCACAATGTGTATCCTTCACATTGGATGGTTTGCTTTTGAGCTGATCTGTGCTGTCTTGTACAAGCCCCTCCCCCCACCTAGAAATTCTTTACTAGTAAAGCAGAGAGGGCTAGAACCCTTGATACAGCACAGGACCAGTGGATTTGTCAAAAAGCATTTTCTGCATCTATTGATATGAACACGTGTTTTTTGTCTTCTGTTTATGCGTGTATTACATTTATTTAAGTATGTCTGACCATTCTTGCAACCCTGGGATGAAACTTATTTGGTCATGATGTCTGATCTTTTGATCTCTTGCATTCTATTTGCAAATATCTTATGAGGATTTTTGCATCTATATTTATTGAGGAGGTTGGCCTGTAGTTTTCTTTCTTAGTTTGTTCTTTGTGGTTTTGGGATCAGAGTGATGGTGGCTTCTAGAAATGATTTTGGAAGTGTTGGTGACACAGTATCTTTTAAAGGTTTTGTAGAATTTAGCATTGAATCTATCAGGTCCTCAGCTTTTCTTAGTTTGTAAATTTTTTACTACTGCATTTGTTTCATTGGTTATTATTAAATTGTTCAAAATTTTTATGTTTTCTTGGTTTAATGGTGATAATTCATATGCATCTAGGCATTGTCCATTTCTTTAAGCTTTTCCAGTTTGTTAGAATACAATTTTTCATAATAGTATCCATTGTGATTTTCCCTTTTTCATTTCTAATTGCATTGATATGAGTCTTTTCTTTGTTGTTTTGTTAAAGGTATGTTGTGTTTATTCATTGACTCTCTGTATTTTTTTTTGTCTCAATTCCATTAATTTTCACTCTAATTTTGGTTTGGGCTTGAATGTTTGTTTGTTTCAAGCATCTTAAGGTTCTTCATGAGGTTATTTATTTAAGCCCTCTCTGTTTTTCTTTTCTTTTTTTGGTAATAGGGATTGAATTTGGGTCCTTGTGCTTGCAAGGCAGGTAGTGGAACAACTGAGCAAATCCCAGCCTCTCTTTTTCTAATGTAAGCATTGATTTCAGTAATTCTGCTGTCTTCTCCTGGGAATTTCTCCTGTGACCCATAGGGTATTCCAGAGTGTGTTAGTAAGTTTCTAGGTGTTTCTAAATTTTCTGTAGTTTCTTTTTTGACTGATTATAGTTTCATTGTACTATGGTCTGATATTAAACATTGGATTATTTTTATTTTTTTAACATTTATTTAAGCAGGGTTTGTAGACTAGCATATGCTTTATTTTAAAGAAAGTTCCTTGTGCTGCTGAGAAGAATGTATATTCTCTTGCAGGGTAGAAAACTAGAGATAACTATTAAGTCCTTTGTTCAAAGGTTTGGTTCAGCTCTGATATTCTTTTATTGATTTTTATCTTTAATTGATCTCTGCATAAGTGGGGTATTAATGTCCCTTGCTATGAATATATTAGTGTTTATTTAGTCTTTTCTTCCACCCATATTTGTTTTATGAAGATAGGTGCTACAGTATTTGGTGGATTATTCACTTAACTACTATGTAGTGTGACTTTCTTTGTTCTGATCAGTTATAGCTTGAAGTTTACTTTGAGAGTAAAATTGCTACCCCTGTTTGTGTTGGGGTCCCAGTGCATGAAATACTGTTTTGTATTCTTAGATTTTTATTCTATAACTATCTTTCTGAATTGGATGAGTTTCTTGAATGCAGTAGACTGTTGGATTGTTTTTTGATCCAGTTTGCCAATCTGTGTCTTTTAATTGGAGAGTTGAGGCCATTAACATTGAAAGTTTTTAGTGAGAGGTATTAATTCCTATCACTGTGCTCTTTCTCTGTAGATAACTCCTTTCTTTTCTTTTTTTTTTTTTTGGATTATCTATTTACCTTGCTTTTATTTATTCATTCCATCTGGATTTCTGGCTTTGTTGGCTTCATCCTACTGAGGAGAGGGATAATGAACCTTTTACAGCTTTCAATGACACAAGAGTTCACTGCAGCACACGAGTCGCAGGTTTACCACCACTGGTCTAGGATATTCTTAAGTGTGTTTAGAGTGCTGGTTTGGTATTTATAAATTTCTTGAGTTTTTCTTTTTCCTAGAATGTTCTTATTTTTCCATCTATTTTGAAAAAATTTTGCTGGCTCTGTTAATTTGGATTGGAAGTTACTTGCTTTTAGGGCATGAAATACTTCATTTCAGGCTCTTCTGGCCTTTAATAAAGGTTTGTATTGAGATGTCTGCTGTAATTCTAGTGGATTTACCTTTATGTGTGGTTTCTTTTGCTTTTCTCTGACAGCCTTTGAAATTTTGTTCTTTTGTTGGACATCTGGCATTTTAATTAAAATGTGGCACAGGGAACTTCTTTTTTTTATTCATGGTTTGTATTCTGTAAGCCTTGCTTGCATGTTGAATTCTTTCCTCATACTTGGGAAGTTTTCTATTATGATTTCTGTGAGCAAATTCATTATTCCTTGTATGCTGAATTCCAGTTTCTCTTTAACTCAGGTTAGCCTTAGGTTGGTCTTATTAGGGGTGTCTAGTAGCTGTTGAATTTTTGTTTTATTGCCATATTTAAGACTACTCTCAGTAATTCATTTCAACTTACCATTTTGTCCTTGATTTCAGAAACTCTGTCTAAACATTGGTCATTTCTGCAATATATGAATTCTATATACTTTTTTATGCCTGGTAGTTTTGTCTCAGACCGTTTTGAGGTCTCTATATCCAGGTGAATTGACAATGTTTTGAAAGTTTTTGTTTATCCCATAGCCCTATTGATCATTTTGTATGATAATTCCATGAGCTCTTTTGGGTTATGTCATCTTTGAACTTGCCAAATTTTTTTTGTCTTCTTTCACCACTTCACAGAGCTTCATTATGGGTGTTTGCTTTTCTCACTTTTGGTGCTTGCTAGTTCTGCCTTGGGAGGGTTGGGAGATCATGATGGGCATTTTGTTGTCATTTTCCCACATGTTCTTGTGTGTATGTATATGGTATATGTAAGTATATCTTTATATTCTTTTTGTTCTTTATATTTTTGTGCTGAGTGTTGAGGTCAAGTAGAGTGAGGAGAGACTATAGTTAATATGAAGATCTTTTTAGTTGGAGTCTTCCTTCCATCGATATTACAACAGATAATGTTCATCCCTTTTGCTATTAAATTAAAATGATATTTGGACCCATTACATTATGGGAGAAGAGAATTATTACTGGTTATAATAGTGTCAACAGATCTGAGAACCTTATTTATATGAGTTAACATGTTCCTGTTAGCATGAACCACTGGTGCTACATGCATGACTGTCGCATCAGCAGCTTGAACCACTCACTGGTATTTAGCTATTTGGCATCAGGCAGTGGAATTCAAATCATAGCCACCTGGCAGCAAGACATGAAGTATGATCTTGTTGTGAACATGTTAAACCTTGAATTTATAGTTTTTGCCTTTATCAATAACCTTTCTAACCTCTGCTGTTTTGTTACTTAGTGGTTAGTCTGTCATGTGGAAGAAGGGAGGGGCAAAGATCGGGGATGAGTGAAAGAGGAGTGTAGGTCAGTAAGATGAGCTGTAAATAGTAGAAATAATAATAGGTAACAAAAAGATGGATTTGGGATCAAATTCTGTTAGAGGACTTTTATTTGGGAGTGAAGGATTAATATTGAGGGCTGTAAGAAGATATTTGTGGAGACAGGGTGGGGATGTAGGAGGAGCGAAGTGTAAATAGAGATTAAGGGATGCTACAAGGTTGTCAGAATCTGTTGATTTATTTGTGCACATATAAGATAGAAAAGAGGCAAGAGAGAACAAGGAACCAGGAAAGATGAAGAGGAACAAAAGGAATAGAATATAAATATTCCTTGTTTAACAACCTACCTGTTTAATGACTATTTGGATTTACCACTGAGGAGCGCTATTCATACTTAAAACCCACCACTTGAATTTATGACCTGTCTTTATTTTTTTCACTTTTGTACATCTTGCTTATAGAGCCTCAGTGTCTTTTTTTGTACATCATAGCTTGTTTGTATAGTACTATAGCTGATTGCACTGTGCAGTTCTGTAGTTTTATGTTCTAATTGTACGGCATGTAAGAGTTATGCAAATAAAAACAAAACATCAAATTGGAATTTCCTTTGACTATTCTGAATATTATAATGTACGTACTATATATTCCTCATTTAGTGACCAATTCATGTGATGACCTAGGTGCAGGAATAGAGTGTGGTCCTAAATGAGGACGCTCTGTAAATAGGTTTATAAAAGGTTAAAATGAGATAAGATGGAAGATCTGGGGAAGAGTGAAATTTAGGAAAAAAACTTGAAGCATTTGAAAAATGGAAGATATAAGTAAATACTATTGTACAGATGCTAGAGTTAAAGAAAAGAAATAGGGAGGTGAAAAGAGAGAGAAATTAGCTAATCAAAGCAAAAGAAAAGAACACAGTAACAACTTTTGGAAGTGTGAGAAGACCCTGAGGGGATTGAATTTAAGACCTTGTGCTTGCAAGGCCCAGAAGGTGCCACTGAGCTAAATCCCCACCTTCCTTTTATGTTATGCTTTCTGTGACTGGAAGACAAATAGAGTGAGGAAGAAAAACTTACTCATCATCTGAAGAAATACTCTAAGAGGATAAAGTTGATTTTCTTTTCTTCTTTAGCCTTTTCTTGAGCTTATATAATATTTCTTGTTTTTAATTTTGTTTTCTGCTTTTCTTCCTTTTTAACTTGTTTTTCTCTTAATTCCAAAGATTTCTGCATGTATTTATGAAGCTTCTCTAAAGCATTCTTTTCATTTTTAAAAATACCATCCAAAGCCAAAGCTTTCTCATAGTACCTTTCAGCATTTAAAAATATTTCTTCTTCTAACTGCTCTCCTCTTTCTATAAGTGTCTGGTAGAGGTGTTTTCTTATATTCCTGGGAGTGGAACAGTTTTCTAATGCAAATTCAAAATCTTCTTTTTTCTTTGTTCATACTTCCTTTGGTTGTGTGTAATGCTCCACAAACTACCAAAGCTTGCACATTTCATCTATTTCCAGGGCTTTATTGTAATCATTCATAGCATCCACATGTTGTTCAACCTTAAAATAATCAGCTCTAATCTCACATTTTAAAACCCAAGGTTCAGACTATTTCATTTTTAGTGCTGAAGCAAAATCATCCTCAGAGACATTTTTGCTTTGTAGGACTCTCATTAAAGATGGTAGATTAGATGCATCTCTTCCTAATTTTTCTAAGAGGAATTCAACTACTCCTGGATCAGTAAATCCTAGGGTGCATGGCGTGCTATTTTTATAGAACTCTAAGCAATTATTATTTAGTTTAGCACTCCTCCTGTATAACAAAAGAAACTCTTCAGAAATAATTACACCTAGTTTAATACAATATAGATGTGGTAGAAGAGATGAGCTATATACAGAGATACTACAAGCTTTTCATGGTACCTATCAATATCCTTGATTCCAGTGTGATTTCTGAATGGGCTAGGTCTCATGATGCTACTTCCTAAATTATACCATGACAAAAACAAATTCCTAAATGGAGCTAATTCTTCTAATTACTGTATCACCATGCTCAATATCTCAGAAAAATAGTGCTCTCTGATCTATGCTAGGTGTCTCTTGTTACTTGCTGTAAAGGTGGCATGACTGCAAAATAGTCTTCATTGTCTTCATGAACTTTAGGAGTTTTGGGTGCCTCTGATCTTTAGAAGTGCAGAGCCTCTCTTTTGGAGATGAATTTTTGTATTTCATTCTTGTCAAATCTCTTTCCTGCCCCGTGAATGCTGCTGGTACGGTGGATCTCAGGCAGGCCTAGCCAGTGACCCAGCAACACTCCAGAAGTGTAGATTGTTTTGGTGTTTGCTCCAGAACAGGGAGAACAAAGGACAGCCCATGGCAATTCAGTGACTGCCACAGAAGGTCTCAATGTATGACAAGAGGTGGTAGACCCAATAGCTAGTGGCTGCTAGGCCCTGGTTTAATGCTCCCTGAATACATTTTCTCCCCTCTCTTCCTCCCTTCCTTCCCTCCCTCCCTCCTTCCTTCCTTTTTCTTTGTCTCTTTCTTTTTCCATTGCTAACTCTAGTTCTAGTAATGAGGTTTTGTTTTGTTTTGTTTTGGTACTGGGGATCAAACTTGGGACCTTGTGCTTGCGAGGTGGGCAGCAGAACCACTGAGCTAAATCCCCGGCCCTCCAGTAATGAATTTTTACTCATTTTCTTTTACTCGTGTCTGTAATTATAGATTCTTGGATAACTACTTTGGTTTTTCATTGCTGCTTTGTCATAATAAGTTGTCAAGCTTGGAGAAGTCGACCAAAATTGCATATAGAGTATTTTTCACTCTGTCAGGGAAACATTTCATTGAAACATAAAATCTCTTTTGTTCTTAAAGTATGCTTCATATAGTTAACACCATTCTTAATGGTAAAAGACTGTTTTGCCCCTAAGATCAGAAACAATGGTTTCTGCTCCTGTTATTTCTATTTAATGTTGTATTGAAGGTAAGGAGACTAGCAGCTAAGTAAGAAATGAAATAAAAGGCATGTAGATTGAAAGGAAGGAAAGCTAGCTATATGCATAGATAGATTCATCTTACATATTAGAAAACCTGTGGAATCCACATAAAAATATTGGACCTAGAAAGTGAATTATCAGGGTTGCAAGATACAAGATAAATATACAAAAATCATTATATATTTATATACTAGCAGTGACCATCTGAAGATGAAATTAGGATAACAATTCTGCTTACAATAACATAAAAAAGAAATATACTTTGAAATTTAACTAAAGTCTGAGATTACATATTAAAACTGCAAAGCATTTTTTAAAAACTTGATATAAATGTATGGAAAGTTATCCCCTGTTCAAAACTTACTGTTTTATGATGATAGCATTCTCCAAATTGATCTAAACTCCAGTTGGCTTTTTTTTTTTTCCAGAACTTGACAATTAGATTCTAAAATGGATATGAAAATGCAAGTGATTCATTTAAGTACATTCTAGCAGTAGTAAATCAAAGTTGGAGGACTCACATATTTCAAGACAGAGTAGTACTGATGGAAAAAAGATAAACTTACAAATCAGTGGAATATAATTGAGAGCCCAAAAATAAGCCTTTAATTTATGACAAGCTGATTTTTGAGAAGGATACCAACACAGGTGTATGGAGAAAGAATAGTCTTTTCAAGAAAAGATATTCAAACCAACTGTGAAAGAACCAAGTTGGACCCCTTCCTCACACTGAACATAAAAAGTAATTTAAAATGGATTATAGAACTAAATGTAAGAGTTTTTTAAAACTCTTAGAAGAAAGTAGCAAAGTAAATCTTTGTGACCTTGAATATTAAAAGAAAAAGTAAAAATAAGTAAATTGGATTTTATCAAAATTTTAAAAACTTGTTCATCAGAGGACACCATGAAGAAAGTAAAAAGATAACTCAGATTGGGAGAAAATATATGATTATATGTATTAATATTTATCTAGGAAGGCATTTGTATTCAGAATAAATACAATAAAAAATGAGAACCAAGACTGTTGTGTAAAGGTACAAGATCCCAATGCTGAATGTAATTGTACTCTATACCTAAAATGTACCAATAAATACAATAACTCAGAACTCATAAACTAAAAGATAACTCAGCAAAAATCAATGAAGGATTTGAATAGATATATATCCCCAAAAGATACCCAAGTGGCCTGTAAACACGTTGAAAGATGGTTTCATCATCATTGTCATTAGGAAAGTGTAACTTAAAACCATAAGGTACTATTTCATACCTTGTCAGCTTATTACAGTCAAAAAAGAAGAGAGTAAGGAGTTGGTAAGGATGTTGTGAGATTGGAACCCTCATACTTTGATGGTTGGATTGTAAAGTGATACATCCATTATGGAAAACAGGTTGGCAATTCCTCAAAATACTGAAGATAGTATTACCATGCCACCTGGAATAAGTAAATCCATAAAGATGAAAGTAGATTAGCTTTTGCTAAGGATTAAGGGGAGGAGGAAATGAGAGATGACTGCTAATGAGTATTGGGGTTTCTTTTTGTGATGATAATATTGTAAAATTGAATGATGGTGATGATCGTACAGTTCTATGAAGGTATTAAAAACAGTGAATTATGTACTTTGATAGAATTAAGTTCATGACTTAAAGCACGACTAAAGCAAGATGAAGGTGCACTTATAAATGTACCTGTACTTTCCAATGCAGATGTTTATAGAATGCACTATGTAGGAAAATTAATCATTGTTAAAATCATACCTGGGTATTGTTTTATGTTCCTAAATTCTTAATTCTTGCAAAAAGATTTAGATTTTGGAATTCTTTAAGATTTCTATGTGGTCATTGTTAATTTGGTATTTGAATGCCTGAGTGTTCTAAATATGACTCATGGGTTTTCCTTTAGGTTACTAAATATTTCTTAATGTTTGAAGTAGGTATGATAGAACTTATAATTTTTCTTAGTTATTTTAAATTAAAGTCTGTAAACCATACTATGTATTATTTTCCTTTGTGGTGTTTCATTGTTTCTTTTTGTGTTTCATTTTGTTTTAGAGAATGATATAAATTGAAGGAAAAAAGTAAAACTAAATAATTTTCCCATGACTATTTGTTAAAATTCTGTTTTCTAAAGTACCTTATTTTATTTTGTTTTTTAGGGCTTTGTTTTGGCAGTTACTATCACACGTGAAGCAATTGATGAATTTAGGCGTTTTCAGCGAGATAAAGAAGTGAACTCACAGCTTTATAGCAAGCTTACAGTAAGAGGTTAGCAAGACATTTTTAATTCTACTTAGCATTTGTATAATGCAATTATCATTTTAGAGTTAATTTAATAAAATAAAACATCCTAATTTCTGTTCTTGAAAATAGCTTTATATGATAATAATATGCTATCCAATTTTCTTATATAATGCATGCAATTCTGGGGTAGATATTATTTTCTAGACACTTAGATTTGTGTGTATGATTTATATGTATGTGTTTATTATATATACATACAAATGTGTGCATAAATGTACATGCATATACTAAAATTATATAACGTGTTCTATTAAAATAGACACGTGAAACTCAACATATATATACACATACACACACACACACTTTCTGTAATGTGTAGTATCACTTTATCTAAAATCTAAAATCTAAAATTTTAACATATTTATAAAGGTCCAACATCTACATCATGGTGTTAATTATACTTTAGTAAAATAGCCTGTGATGACCTGAAATAAATGTTATGATCTAATAAGATAATGGCTACATCCTTATTGCTCTTGTCTTTGTTCAGAAATTTAATGTTTTTTTAGCCTAAATTCTTAAAGAGCTTGTCTACCTGATTTTCCATAATAGAAAAAATAAGCCAGGAAACTAGGAAACAAATGGAGGAAGTTATTACATATAGTCACTGTAAAACAGAAAAGTGACCATGCATTGGCATTAAAGGAGACACTCAAACACTAAATGAAAATGCAAACCAAACCCAAGATACTACCTCACATCCCCTACAAGAAACACAGTCTGTTTAAAAATGAATTTCAGAGTAGGATTTGTATCTTCTGCATATATGTGGACATGTACGATGAATTATTTACGTGAAATAATCCCTTCAAAGTTGTTCACTTTAACAGCTCATTGAACTGTATACCACATATCATAAAATTCATTCACTTAAAATATTCAGTGCATTGAATTTGGTGTATTCATAAAGTTGTTCAACCATCATCATCATCTATTTTTAGAATATTAACATTTGAAAAAGAAGCCCTGAATACATGAGCAGCCATTCCTATATCTTCCTCCTTCCTTCCCCACCCAAGCCCAAGAACCACTACTTTCCTTTATGCATCTGTGGTTTTTACTTATCCTGACTTTCAACTGGAAGCATATATTTGATTGTTTGTTACTTACTTCTTTCATTTGGTGTATTTTCAGGGTTCATCCATGTTGTAGCAAGGATGAGTGCTTTTATTTCTTTTTGCTGACAAATTACATTCTACTGTATGATATACCCTATTTTGTTTACTTGGATGGAAGGTTGTTTTACTTCGTAACTATTACAAAATAGAAACAACCTTCCATCCAAGTGAGCAAACTTAATGAATGTACCAAATTCAATGCACTGAATATTTTAAGTGAATGAATTTTATGATATGTGGTATACAGTTCAATGAGCTGTTAAAGTGAACAACTTTGAAGGGATTATTTCACGTAAATAATTCATAGTACATGTGCACATATATGCAGAAGATACAAATCCTACTCTGAAATTCATTTTTAAACAGACTGTGTTTCTTGTAGGGGATGTGAGGTAGTATCTTGGGTTTGGTTTGCATTTTCATTTAGTGTTTGAGTGTCTCCTTTAATGCCAATGCATGGTCACTTTTCTGTTTTACAGTGACTATATGTAATAACTTCCTCCATTTGTTTCCTAGTTTCCTGGCTTATTTTTTCTATTATGGAAAATCAGGTAGACAAGCTCTTTAAGAATTTAGGCTACCTATTTTCCTGATTGGCTGCCATATTTCCACTATCTTATCTTACACTCAAGAAGCTAAAAGAAGCCATGACAAAATTGCTAAAAGATGTTAGGAGAGTGGTGTATGAACAAGTAGACAATATCAGTAAAGGTATAGAAATTGTGAAAAGGACTCGAATTATGGAGCTGAAAAATATCATAAATGACAAAAACCTTATGGAGATTTTAGTAACTGATTTAAGCAGGCTGAAGAATGAGTGACCTTGAGTCTAGATTAGTTGAAATATCCAGATTAAGGAGCAGAACAAATGAAAAAAAAATGAGCAGCTCTTCACAGACCTGTGGAACAATGTAAAGTGTACCAATGTACGTGTAATGGGAATCTTGTGAAGGGCAGAAAATAAGGAAGGAATATGGCTAGACACACGTGGATATATTCAGGAAGTTCACTGAGCCGCAAGAAGGACAAATAGAAAGATATTTGTACTGAGACACATAGTCAGACTGTTGAAGAAGACCAAAAGAACATGCTGAAAGCAGAAAGAGAAAAGCAATTAGTCACAAGTGTATTCATTAAGATCACAGAGGCCATAAAGTTCTGAAGGGAATGAGACTGTTTTAAAAGTGATGAAGAAAGAAAAAAGATGTTTACTAAGAATCGTATATATCGTAAAACATTCCCAGATAAACAAAAATAGATGGGCATTTAAGAACATTATCAAAAAAGTGAAAAGGTGACTTAACAGAATGGGAGGAAACATTTATAAATCATATATTTGATAAGGTCCCAGTATCCAGAATATGTAACAGTGTCTAATTTAAAAATGGGCAAATGAATCTGAGTAGACATTTCTCTAAAGAAGATAGATAGAGAAGAAATGGCTAAGAAGCACATGAATCCATGCTCAAGTGGCATTATTAGTTCCTAAGGAATTGTCCACCCAAACCACAATGAGATGTTACCACATACCACTAGGTTTGCTGTCATTAAAAAATTGTAAATTAAGTGTTGGATAGGATCTAGAGAAATTAGAATTCTGATACCTTGCTTTTGGGAATATAAAATGTTTTAATTTAGTAGCTATGGAAAATATTTTTGTAATTTTTCACATAATTAAACATATTTAAAAGAAAGACCCAACCACTTTTGTTCATGTTCATTATAGCATTGTTCACAATATCCAAAAGTTGATAACAGCCTAAATGTTCTCAGTGGATGAATGAATGAACAAATTGTTATATTCTTCTGATGGAATGTTATTCAGGAATGAAAGTTTGATACATGCTACAACATGGATGAAGTTTGAAAACATTATGCTATGTAAAGAAGCTAGACACAAAATGCCACATATTGTATTTTGTTGACGTGAAATAGTCCGAATAGGTAAGTTAATGGAGGTAGTGTACAGATAGTGGTTCCCATGGCCTGGGGAAAGAAAAGAACAGGGAGCAATTGCTTATAGGTGTGGGATTTCTTTCTGTGGTGATGAGACTATTTTGGAACTTAATAGTATTGGTTGTACAGCAATATGGATGTAGTAATTGGCACTGAGTTATACACGTTAAAATATAGTAATTGTATTTTTATGTCATTTCCACCTAAAATGGTTTTTCTTTTTTTTTTTTTGGTACTGGGGATTGAACTTGGGTCCTTGTGCTTGTGAGTCAGGAAGTGGCACCACTGAGCTAAATTCCTGGCCCTTTCCACCTAAAATGGTATAAAATGTTGAGGAAGATATATCACTTATCCTTTTTTATACTCCTGAAGTACTTCAACTTAAATACTTTAAAAATAAATTTCAGTAATTTTATATCAAATATATATGCAAATGTACTTTTTTTGTTTTGAACCGGGAATCGAACTTAAGACCTTGCACTTGAGAGACAGGTGCCGGAACCACTGAGCTAAATCCCTGGCCCAGAAATCTATTTTTTAAGAAATTGTCATTGTTGGTGATCTAAGAAGTAGATGTTTTACATGTGGACAAGGTCAGTGGTAGCTACATCTGACTTTCTTATCTGTCAGATAACATCTGTAATACTTAAGAGTCATTATGGTCCAAGGTAGGTTAGTATCATCTCCAAGTCACAAAGGAGAAACCTGAGGCTAATGCTAAATAACTTGTATAAATCACAGCAAGTGATACAGAAGTGCTGGTACTTCAACCTAGGTTATTCTTTCAATCCAGTGGTCTGCCATCTGTGTACATTGCATTATGGGTGATTATTTTTATGCAGATATTTGTTAAGTAAAATATAATGTATAAACACTTAATATATAAAAATGTGTATGTATTTGTTTAATTTTTTGGGTCAAGAATGTTTGCTGTTTAGTTTCTAATATTTCACAATAACCTATTTTTTGAATGACAGATTTTTTTT